CCCGAAGTGCCCAACAAGCGCATGAGAGTTTAATATCTTCCTAAAAGATTGACTGAGTTGCAATGTTTCTGCTTCACATAATGTTCTTTTTGAAACAACTGACCCATTCCGCATTTTATTTCATAGAATATGCCGATTGCTTTTGATGTTCCTTTTGTTTGAAACAACCGCTGCAATGATAAGCTGGCTGCCCTCTGTGTAGATTGTCCATTGTGGAAGAAAATCCCACACTGTGGGATACATTCACATGACAACTTGGTGTGTGGAGATGTGCTAGTTATTTGTCTTTATCTCACTATCAGTCACGAGTAAATTGAAGTACAAACCTAGACACTAATCCTTGACAATAGGCTTAGTCACAGAGTGTAGCATAAGGAATGTCTGCTTCCTATCCACTTCTCTATACTACCCTTCTGTCCCAACTGTCTCTCTTTACAGGTGCCCTCAGTGCTTAATTAAGTAATGTGCTTCAGCTAGATATATATTAATAACATAACTAGCATACTATTAACATGAAGCATCATGCAGGGATGCCTATGTGAGTTATTTTGAAATGTGGTAATTGTTATCACAGAAGTGTTACAGTGCAGGAGGAGACCATTCGGCCCACTGTGCCTGCAATGGCAAGCACCGGTGACGGAGTGTATGGCAATTTCTGCAGCCATTTTGCTACAGAAAGAGTCCACATAGAACACTATGCTTAACAACTGGTTAATCTGCTTCAGATGTTGGTTAAAGCAGAAATGCTGGCCAAGAGACTAGGTTAACTCCCCGTTCAGCTTTTGAAATGCGGTCTTTAAATCTTTAATGTACAGTATAGCTAAATGAGCTATATAGCTTAGTGGCTCACGTTTGGGTGCATGTGGTGTACATGTTTCATGTCTCACCTGAAGGTAGCATCTGTATTACAGAGCTTCCCAAAAGTGGAAGTTGAGATCCCCAAGTGGGTTCGCAGATTGAGATTATGGGATTGCAAGTTGTGAGTCAGCAAAAGCTGCTGTGGAATCAATCTCCATCACCCCAGCCCGACCCCTCTCATTTATTCCCTCTCCTTTTCCCTGTTCTCACAGCCTTCTTCCCTCTGCCTCTGTGCTGTCTGTACTAACCGAGGGGTCCCAACAGGTTTTGAGCTTTAAAGTGGGGAGAAGTTTGGAAAGTGTCGTTGTAATAATTCAGCACACCCAGTCAAGTGCTGAGTTGGTCGCATTAATTGATGTGTTCGAATTTTGGAGCAGGGGAAGCTGTAATGATTCCCTCAGGAAAAGATGTTATGCCAAAAATAAAATTCTTATGAGTTGTTGGCAAGGAGAAGCTTATTTTAAAATGTTGTTACTAGGTGTGATGTGCTCATCATTAAAGGGACACAAGAAATTGCATTGCCTTAGGTAGACGAGAGAGAGAGCAAAAGTGTTTCATCTGTTAGGGAAAATCCAGAACAAGGGGCCATTACCGTAAAACTAAAGCTCGATTGCTCAGGAATAAAGTGAGGAAGCACGTCTTTACACAAAGGGTAGCGAAAATCTGAAACTGCTTCTCCCAAAATACAGTTGAATTTAGGGGTCAATGAAAAGTTGTGAAACTGAGATTTACAGCTGTTCTGAGGGGTCACTGGACCTGAAACATTCAACTCTGCTTTCCCTCCTCAGACACTGCCAGGTCTGCAGGGTTTTTCCCAGCGATTTCTGCTTTGTTTTTGATTTCCCAGCATCCACAGTTCTTGTTTTTTATTCACAGCTTTGTCTTTGGCAGGGGTCATATTAATGTTGAAGCAAAGAATAAAGAAACAACAAACTAGTAGAAGTAGAAGAACAGTGTTAATTTGACCAGGAGCTAAGTCTCTTTCCCACTGACCCTTAACTCAGTGCAACAAACTTCATGCAACAATAGGTTGAATGGTTAGTAATCTGAAGTTGGTGTGTTTTTTAATATTTCCACAGTAGTTCTGGTGGAGATAATTGACAGCAATTTAGGAGCACTCCAATATTTCAGTTTATTAATAGAAGTTGAATTCAGTTACCTACATGAAATACATTGCATTCAAATGCATTCCGTGATACAGAAGCATATCCCTCTGTGATAATTGATCCAAAGTTGCTTTCATTGAAATGGCATTTTATTGATATTGCATAAATCATTTTGCAGCCTGTCCAATCTGTGATAAATATGTGCATAGCAAAGATGTCTGCGCATTCAAAAATAAACAAATTACAAAAGAGGTTTAAAATGTTTGTTTCCCGGATAATCAAAAGATTTTGGGCAGACATACTCTGTATTAATGTAGAGCCTGTGCTAATGGTCTGGTAAAATATTGATGGCTTTTGAAGGTCATTGTCCCATTAAGTTTTCTTGTAGTTTTGCAGAATTGAAATTGTGTACATTTATAAATCTCTCTGGGGATGAAAGACTGAAGGAGTCTATACACTTTAGAGGCAAATCTGTACCATCAGGGGTAATATTTTGCCAGCAGATACTTCAAGGAGGATTTGGTGAGGCTAAGTGAGTGGGCAAAGAGTTCAAATATGATGTTGAGAAACGTGATGTTCTCAGTTTTGTTAGAAAGAACAGAAAAAGACTATTAGACTCTCTCTTGCAAAATAATATCTAGTTAGTCCTACTCTGCTCTTTTCCTACTGCTCTCTGAGTATCTTGTCAATATTCAGCTCTTAGCCAATGTTTCTACTAAAATTCAAATTATCTGCTCATGCAAATTATTGCAACTTTGTTCCCTTTTAAGAATGAGAATTGGACAAACTTTCAGAATATCTGCTGCCCCCGATGCATGAAATATGAGATTCTCGTTGGATCTAAGAACTGCCTTCCAATAGATTCCCCATTGAGCTGCAAAGCTGAATATTCTGATTCACAATAACCAATTTTGTTTCCTGATAACCTGTTCAATTGAACATTGAACTAAATGTAAGTATGCAGGTGCAGCAAGTAACTAAAGCATCTAGTAGAATGTTCTCATAGAATACAAGAAACTGCGTATGCTTGAGATCTGAAACAAAAGCAGAAATTGCTGGAGTCTCTGGACCTGAAATGTTAACTCTGCTGTCTTCCCAAAGATTCTGCCAGACCTGCTAAATTTCTCCAAGGATTTCTGTTTTTGTAGTAGAATGTTCTAACTCATTGCAAAAGGAATTGAATACAAAATACGGAGGGTTATGTTGCAGTCTTACAGGGTACTGGTGAGACTACACCAGTAGTACTGTGTACAGTATTTCTCTCCTTATTTAAGGAAGGATGTTAACGTTTTGGAATATTTCACAGGTTTACTCGACTAGCACCTGGATTACCAGGTGGTGTTCTCATCTGTTTAAAATTCGTGTCATGTTCATGGATCAAATTAATCTCAATTATTCACTTGTGCTATCTCTCCTTTTTTCTCTTTTCTCTCTCTCCCTCTCTCTCTTTTTCACTCAGCTTTTATTCTGTCCTGCTATCCATCATGCTCTTGTTTACCTACCCCTTTCATATCTCTCTGTGCTCCATCTTCACCTATTCAACCCCCTGCCAACTGAAACTTGGTCTTCAGCATAAATACTATTTTTCCTTAGTTGCTAACAGTTCTGATTAACAGTTCGAAATATTCACTCTGTTTTCTTCCCACAAATGCTGCCAGACCTGCTGAGTTTCTCCAGAAATTTTGAGGTTTTGTTTCAGATCTCCAGCATCCTCAGTCCTTTGTTTTATTTATGTGGTTCGTGGTAATTACTGTAAATGTTGACATCCTGTGTTGGTTTCTGCTAGAACAATAAGGGATAGCTTTTTCAGATTTGCTGCCATCAGTCATCCACTGGTCTCTGTTACTGATGGCTACTGGAGAAAGATGCTCACACAGTGTCTTAAGTAGAATAGGTTGTTCTTGATAAATAGATTTTGTTTATTATATGTTGCTTATTAGCTAGTTATGTTATGTTTGAGATACATGAGAGTTCCTTGTGATTATATCTGGCTCAAGTTGAGAAAAACTATATATATGACGGCTAGTGAAACATTCCCATACAGAACAGGTAACAAACATTGATGTGGTTCACACCTCTCAGGAACAGTCCTTCATAGTTCTGACACACCTCTAGGATAGGCGTAACTTGAACCTAGACCATCTGATCCAGAGGCAGAGATACTAACCACTGCACCACAAGAGCCCCTAAACAGTCCTTTATAAATTATTTTTTAATCAACCTGTTCAGACATGGTATTGCACAAGGTAGGACTTGAACCCATGCCTCCTGGCTCAGAGTTAGGAACACTACCACTGTGCCATAATAGCCTTTGAACAGTTATTTACATGCTGTTGCGTCCATGTTATGTCACGATATCAGTGAACCTCCTTCAGGTACTAATTGCCTTATACTACATTGATTAATGTCTAATTTAACTTTCTCCAGCTGCAACATTGTCAGTTGTGGAATAGCAGATCCCTTATTGTCTGACAATTCTCCGGGCTCTGAGTAGACTCTCCGAATGAAAGATGTTGATGTTGCTAACAACCATAATGTGATTTTTTTAAAAACCGAGTTGCTGCTTGGATCAGCGTGAGTTTTCTGGGCTGTGGTAGAACAGAGGCTCTTTTGTCGCCACTGGCTTGCTCTCCTGGCCAGTTCGGACAAGCTTCTGACTCCTTTGCTACATACCCTCTCGGTATTTTTGCCTCCCTTTCCTTAGCAACACCAAAAAACAAGTATTTCAAATCTCTAAGGTATTTCTACCAGCTTCCTAGAGTGCATTGATGCATCGTTGGGGGAGCAGGGGTGCAGGAGTTCCAACACTCAGGAACATTGATGTAAGTTGATTCCTTGGAAATTCAATTTGAAATTCAGGAACATCCCAAAATGTGGTAAGAGTGTGGTGCACCATGACTGATGCAACTGGCAAAGATGTATTTAATGGTAAGCTGGTTAGGTCTGATGGAGAAAGCACAAGTTTCGATATCTCATAAGAGTGTGATGAAGGGAATGCTGGCCTGGAGTGGTTACAGCACAGAAGAGGCCCTTTACCTTGTTATATTTGTGCGGCTCTGCGTGAGCTGCGCACTTAGTCCCACTTCCCTGCCTTTTCCTTGTTCGCTCTGTAACTCTGCAACCTGGTAGAGCAGACCCTGATGCAGTTCTGCAGATCTTGGCATTTAAGCTATAAAGTAAACAAAAGGGAGTTACTGAAACAGGCATTTTCCACTTGGAACTTAACCCTGTCAGAGCTAAACTGACCTGCAGCCAACAAACTGCACAGTAGTTGTGTAAAAGCAAGATCAACATCAGATTTGAAATTAGAGAAGTCTGTTCAGCAGTCTAATAACAGCAGGGAACCTGTTGGTGTGTGTGTTCAAGCTTCTGTATCTTCTGCCTGATGGAAGAGTTTTGAAGAGAGCGTTCCCAGCAGTCAATTTAATTTCTGTTTGTAGGAGCTTGCATTTCCTACATTACCTTGTTCTGGTTTAATGGAAACATTAAGGGCTAACGCAGTGAAGTGCCCATCAAAAAAAAACTCAGCATTGTACTATTAATGGCAGCTTCTACTCACTTACTCCGATAATCCTCAACTCCTTCAGTTGTTTAGGATTGTGCTTGGAATAAAATTTGGATCACTGTTCTTCAAAGTACTTCTTAAATTACTCATTGCCTTATTGTGTTAATCCATTGAACTTGAAAGAGGGTCATTGATTCTTGCCATGGATCATACTGCCATTGTTCTTCACCACACAATGCACTGCACAATCAACCTGTATAATACTGACAGGCTATAAATGGAAATTGTTGTGTGAATGTAGTCCAGGTACAAATGGGCACAGTGGATAATGGATAAGTTCCTGTCCCTTCCATCCTGCGCTGCGATGGATTGCAAGCCACATTTAGAGCACTGAGCTCTTCGCTGTTCAGTTTCTGTAGCAGCCAACTGTTTATTCACACTTAGTTTTATCTGAAATGTCAGAGTCTTATTATAGAATCATTGTACTACACTGCACCAAATGATAATCATTTAGGAGCTGTGTGGACGTGTAGGAAAGTTAAACAAAAACCAAAAGAACTGCAGATGCTGGAAATCAGAAACACAAACAGAAATTGCTGGAAAAGCTCAGCAGGTCTGGCAGTATCTGTGGAGAGAAAGCAGAGTTAATTTTCAGAGTCCAGTGATTGGAACTCAACACATTTAATTCTGTTTGTCTGTCCACAGATGTTGCCAGACTTGCTGAGTTTCTCCAGCAACTTCAATGTTTGCTTCAGAGATACTTTACTGGTTCTAAAGTGCTTTGGGACAATCTGAAGTTCTGAAAGGTACTACATAAATACAATTCTAAATGAAACACCTAACTTAGACGTGGAAGGAAGACTGCAAGGGGAACGAGATGGTATGACTGATAAAGATGTAGAGAAGGCTGAAGACAAGAAGGCAGTACGGTGGCTCAGTGATCAGCACTTCTGCCTCCCAACGCCAGGAACACAGGTTTGATTCCACCCTCAGGAGACTGGGTGGAGTTTGCACATTCTCCCCGTATCTGCGTGGGTTTCCTCCCACAGTCCAGAGATATGCAGGCTAGGTGGATTGATCATGAGAAATGCAGGGTTATGGGGATAGGGCGGGTGGGGTAGTTCTGGGTGGGATGCTGTTCAGAGGATCGGTGTGGACTCGATGGGCCAAATGGTCTGCTTCCACTCTAGGGATTCTATGATTGTATGAAGGGTTCTGTAATTCAGTATCCATTGATGGCTAAAACCTTAAGAGCATTTAGAAACATTGAAGTAAAAATTCCTGATTTCACAATACCCACACTCATGTTATGCCTGTCTGCTTTATGGCTTTGCACAGAGCAAGGTTGATATGTTTCATAATCAATGATATTGGCAACATATAGTGGTACAGTTGGGGGTGAAGGATTGCTAGGAAAATCCAAGTTTTCAAGTTTTGGACAAATTATGTTCAGTCTCTTTCCATCTTTGTTGCTCAAGCTTCATTTCTGTGTTCAGATCAGCACCCGGCTTATGGAAGTGAATACAAAATCTTACTTCAAACTTAACCTGAGGGTCGTTTCTTTGTTCCTTCTTGGAATCGGTTAATTTAAGAGATGCTGATATCTGCATTGGTTGCTCTCCGTAACATGGCAGTCTGAACAAGCTGTACTGAGTCTCACATAGCATTGATGTGCTAGATACTACAGCAGCCCACTGAACACGGGAGGTGAGCAGGCAAGATTGCATTTCACTTAAAATTAACATGCACCCAGCAACGCACCCACAGGTGCATCAAAGTGTAAATTCAGGATTGGTAATTAAGTCAAATCTTGTAACTAAATCTGCTGAGAAAGGTGGCATTTATGTTGATTTAAGGTTCAAGTATTGGAATTGTTCTATTAAACAGCCGAGAGTGAGGGATGTCAATGTGCATTGTGAAATACCGCATGGAATTGGAAGAATGCAGCAGAGAAAATAACTTTGGACATCAAAGGATTAAAGGAGCATTCCAAGTGCAAATTGTGAAATAGGCCATTGGTAAGAATGATGGTTGAGTTAAGTGAATCTTGCACATGCTGAGTAAATGGACGATTCTTTTTTTCAAAAAAGTGATCTTGTGGTTAGTACGCTAATTATTGCCATCAACTTTAAATATGCTTAACGTAGAACCTCATTTGATTCTAAGCCTTATGCAATGTCATGAGAACTAAGATGCTCCAGTCCATGTGGTGTAGTTACTTCCACAGTGCTGTTGGGAGGGAGTTCTATTTTTTACATCAGTGACGATGAAGGAGCAATGATTATACTTAAATGTCAGGATGTGACCTTGTAGTGTCCCCATGCATCTGCTGCCTTTCTTCTTCCATGTGGTAGAGGTTGTGGATTTGGGATGTGTAGTTGTAGGATCCTTGGTGAATTGCTGCAGTGCATCCTGCAGATGGTAGATATTGCTGTCATTGTATGGAGGAGGGAGGAAATGTTGAAGGGGGTGGATTTGTCCAGATTGTTGTCGAGCTTCTTAAGTGTTGCTGAAGATGTGCTTCACCCAATGTGAATTGGACAGTGGACTGAATCAAGGAACATGGGAACAAGAATTCACCTTCACCCCTTCCATTCAGTGAGTGTTCCACCATTCAGTCAGATCAACCTTAAATCCATTTGCAGATATACTTGCTTCACAAAAATCTGTCTTGCTCAATTTTGAAACTTTTCATTGACCCCAGCAGCATTTTAGACAGGGGAGGTCTGGATGTTCCAGCAAAAGGAAATAGTTGTCCTCTCTCTCACCTATCAAATCCTTTAATCATCCTAAAGATTTGGTTTCAGCTATCGGGAGAGGCTGAGTAGGCTGGACTATTTTCCCTGGAGTATTGAAGGCTGAGGGGTGACCTTATAGAGGTATATAAAATCATGGATTGGGTGAATAGTCAAGGTCTTTTCCCCAGGGTGGTGAAGTCCAAAACTAGAGGGCATAGGTTTAAGGTGAGAAAGAAAGGATTTTAAAAGGGCCTAAGAAGCAATCTTTTCACGCAGAGGGTGATGCGTGTATGGAATGAGCTGCCAGAGGAGGTGGTGGAAGCTGGTACAATTACAACATCTAAAAGGCATCTGGGTAGGTACATGAACAAGAAGGGTTTAGAGGGATATGGGCCAAATGCTGGCAAATGGGACTAGATTTATTTAGGATATCTGGTCAGCATGGACGAGCTGGACCGATGGGTCTGTTTCCGTGCTGGACATCTCTATGACTCTATGATTCAATCACCTTTTAATTCTGTACTTGATGGAATACAGATCAAGTCTTTGCAACCTGTCCTAGTAATTCAACTCTTCTTTTTAAACCCCAGTATCATTCTTCCGTATTTGTGGCCGCTCCAAGGCCAATGTGTTCTTCACCTCAACTTTCAGACTTACTGGTAGTCATTGGATAGTGGTGGGAAAAATGGTTCTGTTGGCTCGCAGTTTTAAAATAATCCCTTCCTCTCCTTGGGGACTTTGAACCCAATTTAGTGGAGTATTATCGTGCTAGCTAATCACAGCCTGGAGTTTCTGAAGTCCATGCCTTGGTTATGCACATTGCGCGATGCTCACTGAGCCATGAACACTGTCCATTGTTTGCTGTGTGAATATGTTGGACTCTAGCCAACACAACCAATAAACAGATTAACTGCCAGCAGACCTAATGCTGTTGACAGACTATTCAGTGTGGACAGTCTTCCCCTACATTCGCCTGTGTAATAACAGCTTGGATTTTAGATGAAGCACTTGGAGCCATTTCTGAGCAATGATTAAACTGGAGTGGAAATGGAAATTCTTTCAATTTCATTCCTTTGGGGTTGTCCGTCAGACAACGATGTGATTGGCACATTCTTATCCAAGTCCTGTAGCACTTTGTTTCCAGCTCATTATTTGAATTCAGTAATGCTTCCATAAGACGATAAAAATAGGAGCAGATGTAGGCCATTCAGCCCATTGAGTCCACTCTGCTGTTCAATCAGATCATGTCTAATCTGGTAACCCCCAACACCACTTTCCTGCCTTTCCCTATAAACCTTGATTACCTCACTGATTAAAAATCAATCTCAGCCTTAAATGTCCTTAATGATCTAGCTTTGGCAGCCCTCTGTGCTATAGAATTGCACCACTCTCTGAAAAAAATCCTGCTGATTTCAGTCTGAAATGGGCAATCCCTTACTCTGAGATTATGCCCTTTGGCCCTAGACTCTCCCAAAGGGAATACAATCTCTCTGCATTAACCTTGTCAAGTCCCTTAAGAGTCTTGTACGTTTCAATAAAGTCACCTCTCATTCTTTTAAATTCTAATGACTCCAGGCCCAAACTACTCCACTTTTCCTCATTTAAAAAAAATAAAATCTGCCGTACCTTGGATGAACCTTTTCTGGACTGCCTCCTATGCCATAAGTTTTCCTGAGGTAAAATGACCAAAACTGTACACAATATTCCAGCTGTGGTCTGATAGTACTTTTGTATCGTTTTAGCAAGACTCCCTATTTTTATACTTCATTCCATTTGCCTTCCCTGTTACCAAATGAACTTGGGTGCTATCAAATGTGATTCATGATTAATTACCAGGATCCCTAACTCACTCTGTGGTGCAATCTTTTCTACATTTAAATCATTTTTGGCTATTCTATTCATCCTGCCAAAGTGCATAACCTCACA